AAGGGTTGGTCCGGGACTACTCCAGGGTCCAGTGAAGCCTTGGTTCATGTACTGATTGATCGCCCAACTGGGTTTGTTCTTGTACAGGAAGGAGCTCATCTGAGGGTGTGAGAATGAGGCAAACACCACGTTGGTGTCGAACAGATTCCGCCCGACGTTGGCGTTCGTGACCCATCCTGCAGCTTGAGAGACGCCAGGGAACCCATTGCGGCCATTAAGCACATTAAGCTGCGAGCTCGGGCCGATGCCACTTTGAATCAAAACTTTGGGCGTACTCAACGCACCCGCAGCCATAAGTACAGTACCTCGAGACGACAGTAGAGCTTGAGTTCCGCCGTTGTAGACGACACCCGTAGCCTTACCCCCAGAAGCTCGTAAGATGTAGTCGACCTTGGCTCCAGTGAGTAGCCTCACGTTGCTCCTACTGCTCATTCGCCCCCAGAAGGCATTTGCGGGGGTGTCCCGTTTGCCGTTCTTAAAGGTGAATGGAGCATGACCGAACGTCTTGCTCTTGCTATTGCGTGCTGCAGCGTCGTTGATGGTGCGTTCAGCGTACCCCCTTGCTAGTAGAGCTCTGGATACGATGGAATACCCGTCTTGAGTGTACCAGATACCGTCACTTGACGGTCTGTCCGTGTGGCCATGAATTTGCTCGTTCTCGTTCATCTTGGAGACCATTTGAGCTGCTGAGAACGGCCACTGCGTGTTGGTGATGTACGAGTCGGGGGGTCGGAAGTAGAGCGCTGCGTTGATGGAGGAGCATCCACCCACGAGCTTACCGAGCCACATGTAGGCGTCACTGATCCACTCGACACGGTACTGTTCGTTGGCTCCGTTGTAAATGACACTGTCGTATTCACCGGGGATGTCGAATTTCGTGAGACCTCGGCCTTGAGCGTAGTCCGGGGAGTCCGTTCCACCAGTAGCAGCCAAAGATCTGGGCCCGGCTTCGAGGATCAACACGGAGACACTTGAGTCTCGTGACAAATACTCGGCAGCTACGAGACCGCCAGGGCCACTACCCACGACAATGGCATCGTACGTTTGGGCATCGACAATGGAGTTGAAGACCAGTAACGCACTCGCCAAGCAACGAAGACTGGGGAGACGCATTGCTGCTGATCACGAAATCTTGGTTGGTGCTGGAGGAAGCGAATTGCGGAATGATGTGATCTTCACCATCCAAAGAGCCTTCGATCGACAGGCCGACACATGGACGGAAGAGAGAGAGAAGAGACAAAGACGACTGGCCACGTTCTTCAAGCAGTTGCAGATCGGAACCCATTCTTGTACGGCATCTTCATTTCTACAGACACGAACAGAAAAAAAAATCATTCAAAAAGTTTGTTTGCGTTTCTGAACTCTGTACCCAGAATGAAGATTACCTACGGTACACTTGCACCGTAACTGACGGAGAAGCGCCGTCTTGAGTTCTCGCAGCGATGGCCTTTCGTGACGCGTCACTTAGAAGGCGTCTGTCTTTGACTCGGCATGAACAGTCTTACACCTCAGCAATTTAGAGATCCGCGAGGTGGTCATTTTACAAAGGAGAAACTTCTACCCCCTCCTCCCAATATATCTATATTTTTATATATATTATATATTTACAGATCGTCTAAACAAAGAATAACAAAAGAAGCTATTGAAATAGGACAAGGATACGTGGATGAAAAAAAAAATCAGAATAGATGCTAATTTTTTTTGTTCAATATACATTGTAATTTACTTGAGTATCTTCTCGGTAACAATGTCCTAGTGACATGGACCCGTACGTCAATGATATGCTTGCTGGTCGAAAAATACTAAAGAAGTTCTTTGACCTCTACCTTGCTTGGCGTTTAGTCTACCTCAAACAAACCTCTTCTTCCTTATTTACATTTGTCGGAGTGGCAAACCCTACCAAGATAGCAGAACCTCTGTTTCACAAAAGCAAACAGAAAAACACATCAGCGTTACCGCCTGCAATTATGACAAACCCTCAATCTCACGTACTCCAACAGTGTAGGAGGTATTCGTCCAGGATTCTTTTTTACAAAGCCTTTAATCTGGCGGTCAAAGCGACGTAAATGTGGCCGTAGTTCCGGTAGTTCACTAGCGCGTTCAGCCAGTCGTATCCATTCCGCCAAAATCTCGGCGATTCTATAGAATCGACTCCAGTCTTCGTCTGTCCGTGGAGTCTTCTTCTTCTTGCACGTTTGCATGTCCTTACGAAAGATACTGGCTAACTTCCCAAGAGGTTTTTCCATTCGATCTGGTTCCAACACGTCGATACGAGTCAAATGGTAGATAAGGTTTTTCATTTTGCGTAGTAAATCTGGTCCCGAGGAATCCCGAATTTCAGTCAGGTTTTGAGACGTAGCCTCTAATTGTGGGTCAGCAAGACATGCCGGCACATCCGAATCATCTTTCGCATGTGCAACTACCTCAGCAATACTTTTGGCAATGCCCGCGATCCAATTCTGACTCACTTTTCTCTTCTTCTGATGCCGTTCAATGATAGAGGGTAGTAGCAGTACTGCATCCCGAAAAACCCAACTGCAATTGCTTCACTAATAGCACCTCCGTCTTGTATCAAACTAACCATTCCGTTCAAGGACAACGAGCTCAGATGCATGAGCTTAGTAATTGCCTTCCACACTGTCTGAAGTGCAGCTTCTTCACTTAGCTCCAAACACTTCCTGGCTTGTTGGAGAAGCCTAGCGAGATTATCACCAAGACGATTCTCAGTATTCGATTTGGAAGTCGAAGCCCGTTCCTGGCGCTTTAGAGCCGGTTCTTGTTCTTTTTCCTCCTCATTCTCTCTCGATCGCTTCACTCCTATTAGTCCACTCACGCGTTTGTGTTCGTCTCCTTTCTCTTTCTCCTGCTCGACAGGAGCTTCATCCTCCGTCTCCGTTTCAGATTCGTAGTCCACTATATCTTCAGTCTCCAATTTAATACGGAAATCGTCGAATTCTGCGGCTTTTGTGGCTGTCAAGTCTTCTGTTTTTTGCTGCGAGGCTTCAGCGACGATGGCGCGAGTTGCAGAGCGGATTTTGTCCAGTAGCTGCTCAATGTGGATAAGCACAGGAGTCATAGTACTTGGCGATGGCACTTGCGACGCATGAGTAGTTCCGGGGACAGCTATTGCGTCTATCACGCGCGCAAGTTGCTGCTCAATGTTGAGCAGCACGTCCATCGTTTTCGTTCTAAAACTGTGATTTATCATGTTTACTAAAAATAAGATAATTTATTAGAGTATTTTCTAGTGCTACAGTTAAAAAGCTTGATCTGGAAAGAGGGGTTAAAAACTGAAATCAAGTGACTAAATAAGTGCATTGCGTTCGTCTTCAGAAGCGAGAGGGAACAGAGGACCACTAACTCCATTCAGCGCGGGACTACAATCTACCCAAGACCAGATAGGACCACCAACTCTGACTTTGCTGGGGGCCACCAATTTAGACGAATAAGCTGAAGAAGGCGTTGCAGAAAAGCTGTGTGCAGATCCGCTCAATGTCGTTGCAATACACTGAGTCTCCAGCCATAATCGGTCGTGGCTTACTGCGCGCACTCTGATTTCCTCTGTCCACGGCCAGAAAAACGAAATATTGGTGCCATAGTTGTCCTTCATCTCGAGGCATTTCAACGATGTTCGTAAAACCAATCGCCAGTTCCCCCATTCCTTCAATTGTAAACAGCTCGGACGGGAGTTCGCTGATGGGATTTCCAGTAAGGGATATATACGGCGACCAGATGTGTAGAAGTACATTTGGAACCGTTTCGAGCTGACTGTATAGTATTCAATAAAGACGACCGATCCTGAATTCCATTTCGAGTCGAGATCAGCTCGTAGATTCGTAATGTACATCTCGAAATAATGCAAACCAACCGGGGTGTCGTTAGACTGGAGCCCAGTGGGCAACAAATTATTGGTCATATTCACTCTAGCCAACATAAGCGAAAGGAAGGCCGGGTGGTTCGTGTTCGTAATGGCAGCTGATTCCTTCCAGTCACTTGTTGTCGTATTATATATCTTAATACTAATAAGCTGGTGGAACTCCGTGAAAACATTAGGCACATCCAGTGACGGACAATTTTTAATTAACCCTTCTAGTCCTGTATGCTGTATAATACAGCATAAGTATTATAAGAGGTTTTAATATGCAGCGAACAATGAAACATCAAACTTTTTCGCATACTGGAATTTGTATTGGTCGGTTGCAAATCCTAACGGTGACTGGTTTCTCGCACGTCGTTACTGATCTGGGGTTAGAGGAGCCCGTCTACGGATGCTATCGGGTGGATAGAGGTGTGTGTCGATCGCGCTATCCCGCTCCCTCCCCACTACACTTGAAATCTCGGTCTCCCTCCGCCCCGCTCCGCCCAACTCGAACAGCATGGAAAAAACGTTCAAGCAGCTCTGGCGAGAGCTTTGCAAGCAAGGGTGGACACCGAAGCCCCCCACCGGCCTAAGTAGTGACCACCGCTACGTCCGCCCGGGAAGAAGCGTGAAAGGAAAGGATGGCGTCGACTACTTCACCGGTACAGCTCGCACCACTAGTTTGCATCGATTACAACAACTTTACTAACCGATTTGTCCCCTCAGGCGAGAAAGCGCTACTGGAGTTTGCTCGACAGCGTGGCTGGTTAGAGTATAGTGTTATCGCTGGAACTATTCCTCCGTCCCCTTCGTCGACAGCATTGACAGCACCGCCTGCAGACAGCGGAGCGTGCGATGATAGGCCCACCTCTGCCGCAGCTGATCGCGTCGAAAGGGAGACAGCACCAACGACTACCCCGCCTGCTAAAGAGAACGTGCCAGCTACGACGACCTCTACTGCGACGGCAATCACTGTAGCCAGTACAATTCAAGCTCGGGCTTCGAGTCCAGTTACTTCGGCTAATACAGCACAAGCTCGGCCCTCGACCGCAGCTGCTCGACCGGCTACAGCACAAGTTCGGACTGCGAGTGTGGCTACTCGGGATGCTACTGTACAAGCTCTGACTGTGCGTCCTGTTACTCTGGCTTCTACAGCACAAGCTTCGAGTGTTATCCTGTCTGATACAGCAGAAGAAAACACAATGACGCTGCCTCTGCATCTTGATACAGCAGAAGGTCATGCTGCAGTAGAGGAAGAGGAAAAAGGTGAGGAGCCCGAGCTTGAAGACGTTGCAGAGTTCAACATGCACGATTCGAATGGATTCATTTTCGCTTTGTCCAAGTGTGAATGGTCTAAAAATGCGGATGCAGACGATCCCAATCTCTGTGACTCGGACTCGGAGAGCGACAAGTCTGATGAGACTGATACGGAAGATTATATTCACGAAGTAATGGACACGGAAGTGGGCTTGGCAAGTAATGCCGCCGAGGATGCTCTGAGCGACAACGATGACGGATTAGATGACGCCGAATTCTTCAATGATGTTGCTGATGATGACTGGTCCCCTCGAGAAAATGCCAATGCCAATCCTGATTTTCTCCGTGACGCGGAATTGAAGGCGGTTTCTTCTGCGTGGGTTGTATACGATCAAGACCACAGTGGAGACCTGCAAGTAGATGGTGCATCGGATCTGTACAATGGCCGGTGGGGTCCAACGGAGTCTGCGCGAACGTATGCGGAGTCACCTCTTGCCATGTTTTACTACTTCATGCCGAAGTTGATGTGGACCAAAATTACTGAGGAATCCAATCGATATCGTGCGAGTGTGGTAGATGAAGTCGCTATCCAGAAGCAACGCCGTCAGCAACAGTGGCAGCTTACACACCCAGATAGTCGAGTCCAGTCGTTATCGGATATCAAAGACACTTTGAGCAAGGTGAAACCCTTTCAAGCTCACGAGATAGTTCACTACATTGCACTGCTTATAGCTCGTGCACTGTGCGCCCACCGGCGCTCACTAGGAGATCACTGGTCGACGTCTGAGAATGGGGCAATTCCACGAGGCACGTTCGGCAAATTCATGACTCGCAAGCGATTTGAGGAGATCACGCGCTATCTACACTTCAATGACAATGCGAACGACCGGCGTAAGAAAGACAAAGCTTGGAAATTGCGTCCTGTCCTCCAGATGATTGAGAAGACCTTTCGAAACGGATACCGAATGGGTTCCACGCTTTCCTTCGATGAAGGGAT